ACTTATGCACGAAAGAGAGAGATATAGAGATAGAATAGCTACAACTATGAACTAACCCTAACTCAGAGCTCCTTCTGTATTTTTTTGTGTAACCCTAATGGAGGCAGAAGAGGCTCCCTCTTATAGAGCTCACTCTTGCAAAACTTCTCAAGTAAGCTAGTCAAGAGGGAGATCCCTCCATACACGTGTATGGAGGGAAGCAAAGTGGGTGCCAGCTATCACAGCTGGCACAAAATATCTGCCAAAAGCAGATGCACAGTGGTTGGCCAGCCAAAAATGTAATTTGACCAAAATAGATGGCCGACCGACCATCCAGAGTGTCGACCGACCAAATATTTGGCCGATGGCAACAAAACCCAACCGATAGCCTCAAGCCATGGCCGGTGATGTGTGGGAATGGCCAACAAGCCATTCCCTGTCCCTCAAAGGCAAAACACAAGTGTTTGGTGCAAAACCAAACACAAAACAGTCGAGTCGAGAGATCCTGAGGCAGGGCGCGTGGCCGAGACCTCCAGGAACTCAAGACGAACACAAACATGGATGATCACCGAGTGTTCAAACGGTGACGTCCAAGTCTTGAGGACGATCAAAAATTGGGTGTCTACAGCTAGCAAATGATTTTGCTTCCTTTACGGTATCAACCTAGTTGGGATTGTTGAGATTAGCTATGATGTTAAGTACACTTTCCTGCTTTGTTGATGTATTTTTGCATGTATATTGTTTTTTTCATCAAGAAAACTTTATTTTTGCCGATAAAAAAAAAAGAAAAAAGAATGAATTATTCTTTAACAACTACACACATTTTTGAAAACTTATTCAACTACTTACATCATATTTATTGAACTACTTACATCATTTTATTTTATTTTTGAAAAGAAAAGAAGACAATGTCAACAGGCACCTTATCATATAATATCATTTTTTGAATAAATTATAGATAAATCATAAATCATATATATTGTTGTAGTTCAAGTGTTTTTGCGCCATGCTAAGAGTTGAGAGTCAAAATGAGACATCCAAGAATTATCTCATTGTGGCTGTTTGATGCTTCTATTGACACTCATAAATATTTGCATGTGAAAGTGGGGTGTAATGAGAAAAATATTGGGTGTAAAATTATTGAAATGGCCTGTTTCCATTGCATCTTATTTTTGTTTTATTTCCAATATTAAAATCATTCCGTTAAATCTAGCTGAAAATATTGTCACATTAGGCCCAATAATATATAATAGAGGGAGAGAGTATTTTATACAACAAATATCTCACATCATTTTAGCTCCAAATACTCTAACAAATTAAAGTTTTAAAGAAAAAAATTTAAGAAAATATTTTTGTTGCTAAAAATGTCATTATTGTAATTTCACTACAGGAAATATATGATTTAACGGCGTTTATTTAACGGCGTTTTTTTAAACGCCACTACTTCTAATATTTAACGACGTTTTATAAACGTCACATTTTGTTTTTATTAAAACGGTACCGTTTAAGTAATGAAGTCGTTTGAAAAGCGCCTTCAAATGTGTTACAGTGTTACTCTCTCTCTCTCTCTTCAAACCCTCAAATCTCTCGCAACTTATTTGAATCCGAGAAACCCTAGAGCCTCAGAGAAACCGATCCCTCAAATCTCTCACTCGCTCTCTTTCTCTCTCTCTAAACCCTTCAGCTCTTTCAACTCAATTCAACCTTCTTCGCTCGGTGATTCATCATTCGGTCGATCCAATCTCAGAATGATTTTGATTTCAAAGCTCCACCGCCACCGCCATCACCATCTGCATCTGCTGGAAAATCTGGAAAAATAAAACATGATCGAACTGGCAACTTTGAATGCACTTTTGCATTTTGCTTCGGGGGCGCTGCTCCTCAACCCCGCCATGGCGCTACCCCGAACCCGCCAAGGAGTGCTGCCCCCTGGACCCCCGCGAGCTGACCGGGCTGCTCGATCCCCGTCTTAGTTAGCGAAGTGGCAAACATGAAAGAATTATCTTCTGAAACTTCTCTGCAAGACACAATTCGGGTTGAATCCGCATCTAAGTATATATAATAGAGGGAGAGTATTTTACATAACAAGTATTTCACATCATTTTAGCTCCAAATACTACAACAAATCAAAGTTTTAAAGACAAAAATTTTAGAAAATATTTTTGTTGCTAAAAATGTCATTATTGTAATTTAAACTACAAAATTAGATATTTAGTGATGACTTACTATTTTTTTGGACCAAAATTTTAGTCTCAATAAAAAAAAAAGTCCTTTTGGGTAAATTACAGTTTGCACTCGTGCATTTTGCACCAAATTCCACTTTGGTCCCTACACATAAAATTGTGACAGTCAACTCCCTACGCTTTTGGTCAAGTACCAATGTCCCCTTTTTATTATTTCACCATATAAGTCTTCAATAAAAGTCAGTAATGTGGGCAAAAGAAAAATCACCCCCATTTCCTGCCTATACACATTTTATGCCAAAATTTACATCAAACTATCACTATATTTGGCTAAAACAAAACATATATTGCAAATGATTAAGGAGATGAATTAGGATTTTGCAAAAATTGGAATCACAAAACTCTGTTTGCTACAGTAACACAATCTTCATTTTATTCCTCTTCCTTTCTCTTCGATTTCTCTGCTGCCTTTTTTTTATTTTAAAAGCTCTATTTTCTCGCATCTTAATCCGTATTTTCAGCATATGAACATATATATATATATATATTGTATTATATAACTTTCACATACTTATCATGTGGGACAATGTATGTATTGGTAGGAAATGTGAATGATTTTTCCTCTATTGCTCTCACTTCGTAGTCAGATGATTAAATTTTGTTAAATACTTAAACAATGGACTAAGAGCAATGATGGAACCAAGATTCAAAAAAAAAAAAAAATAAATAAAAAAAAAAAATCAAGGGAAGGGAAATATGTATGTAACTTCTCATTTTTTAAAATTATCTTACTATTATTAGTATAATATACATGATTTTTACAATTTTTGGGGATGCAACCACCCCCGTACCCCTTGGATCCATCCATCAGTAAGAGAATGAAGATATTGATACTTGACTAGAAGTATAAAGGGTTAACTGTCACGATTTTATATGTAGAGACCAAATTGAGATTTGGTGTACAGTGTAAGGGTGTAAAATATAATTTATCTTATTTTTAATTTGAACAAAATGATGAAATTATACAGAACTAATCATTTTCTTTCTTTAAGAATATTGCTCATGCTCCTGCCATTTTTATCTATGTGAATCAAGTAAGCAAATAGCAAAATAGAGTTCTAGAATTAAATTGACACAATAATACTGTAAATAAGGGAAAGGACCTTTTTGATTGTTATTTTTTTATTAGGAAATTAAAATAACACACACAAAAAAAAAAAAAAAACACCCCTAAAATTTGACCCTTATAATAAAATAAATCTTGAATTTTTAATTTTGTCAATTTAAACCCTAAATTTTTTATTTGGCTTCAATCTAAACCATTTGCTTATTTTCGTTGAGTAAAATCAACCAAAAAATGATATTTTAGTCATTAAACCCAATGAAAAAGGTATTTTAGACATTTTATATACATACATTGAATTTAATGACTAAATACTTTTTTTTCGTTGGTTTCATTTAACAAAATAAGGCAAATGGTTTAGATTGAAAATAAATCAAAATATTAGGATTTAAATTGATAAAATTAAAAAAATTAGGATTTATTTTGTCAAATGGCTCAAACTTTGGGATTTAAAAAAAATAAAAAAAAATAAAAAAAAACACTTGATATCCAATCCCAATTTGACTGCTTATTTATTCGTAATTTATGTGAAACCGGTTTTTATTTTTATTTTTATTTTTATTTTTTATTAGATACACGTGAAATGGACTTGAAGGTGGTTTATTTTTTAATTTCTAATTTTAGCTTGATTGAGTTAGATTATTAAATTTTTCATTTCAAACATGTACATATCATCTATTATAATAATTCACCCAAAATATCATCTATTATATTATTGCGCCTAATGTGACAATATATTCAAGGCCCCCAAATAAAAATCAAAATACAATTAAAAAAATATCTCATCATGTATTAAATAACAAGCTTGGATATCATATCATATACGATATAAAAATTAAAAGTAGTGTTTCTTTTAAGTTATTTCTCTCTCTCTCTCTTACATGGCTCCTACTTCACACTACGGAGTCTTAAACATTTAAAAAACAATATCATTAACAATATTAAAAGTGGCTGCTATATATTCACTTATTTAAATTATTACCAATTTGAAGTTCTGTATTTATATAAAATTGTAATATAAAATAGCTAATAACAAATATATATAGCAATTATCTTCCAACAAATCGATACATAAGTTGCAATTCTTTAAAAGGAAGGTGACAGAAGATTACGGAATTAGAATTTATTCACAGCAATGTCCATGTAGTTTATCTCTTGTATCAATCTAGACATTATTTTGTTTCATCATTTTGTTCTTTTGAATTTTTATATTGATCCATCAAATTGATAATATTTTTTAAAAATTGAATAGAAATTAAAGAATGAAACAATCTATTAACTCTCCTCAAAGTGATTGAGGAGTTTGACATCCTATTTAAAATGGTGTACTCTTTTTTGAGCAGATCATTTTACTATTATTTTCTATCTAATTTCTTAACTAATATTTTTAATTAAACTAAATTGACACAATATGAGAAATTAAGAGAGCAAAATTCATACAATTAAAATGACAGACTGAATTAATACATGAGGCAAATTACAAAGATCATAGGTCTAATTTGCCTAAAAACTTATACTAGATGATAGGAATAGATAGTTGAAATAGTCCATCATATTAGAGAGAGAGAGAGAGAGAGAGAAAAGTCAATGGAAGCAACTAATAAAAGAAATTAGAAATGGGTGCAGTTGTTGAAGAACAGTTCATGGTTCATTCTCGAAAGATGAACGGGGAAAACAGTCCCCATTGAAGACTTGGTATTGTCAAAAATGTAATGACAAATTCAAATAATCTGATCTATCTATATCTATAAATACACAGCCTCTTTACGATGCTAGACATCCATCACACTCCTCTCAAGCACTTGCAATTAGGCATAGAAATTCCAATTTGCTTCAATTAAAAATGGCAACTCACTTTTTCCTTATAACCATAGCCATCATTGCCTTGGCCTCTACACTTGCCTCTGCTTCAGACCCAAGTCCTCTACAAGACTTTTGTGTTGCTGTTAATGACTCCAAATCTGCTGGTATACTCTATGTGCTCATCTCTATCTCTCAACTTTGTGCCTTCCAAATTATATATTTGGTGTCATTTTGGTAATAGACATTTTAATTGTGTCAATTTTGTTTTCAAAGTATTAAAGGTATATTCAAGTTGTCTCACTAGATGACATCGCCGGTATTTGTTTGGTTCCTAAAATATACAAAATATTTCATTTTGACCCCTAATATTTTAATTATATCTGTTTTATTAAGATTTGGTTTTCATTTTCTTAGATGTCATCTTGTAATTGAAAGCTTATTAGCCTGTATAACATTTTCTTTCTTTCACCCAACACTTACTGAAGACATCTCCAATTTCCTTTTCATGCAGTTTTTGTGAATGGAAAATTTTGTAATGACCCAAAGCTCGCCAAAGCCGATGACTTCTTCTTTTCTGGCCTCCTTAATCCCCGAAATACATCAAATCCAGTTGGATCGACTGTCACTCCAGTAAATGTTATGCAAATCCCAGGCCTCAACACTCTTGGCATCTCATTAGCTCGCATCGACTTTGCACCTTATGGTCTTAACCCACCCCACACACACCCTCGTGGAACTGAGATCCTCGTGGTCTTGGAGGGTACCCTCTATGTCGGTTTCATAACCTCCAATCCGGAAAATCGTCTTTTCACCAAGGTCTTGTACCCAGGAGATGTTTTCGTGTTCCCTGAGGGTCTTATTCACTTCCAGTTTAACGAAGGAAAGACCAATGCAGTGGCTATTTCTGGTCTAAGCAGCCAAAACCCTGGTGTTATTACCATTGCCAATGCGGTGTTTGGGTCAAATCCAAAGATTTCTGATGATGTTCTTGCCAAGGCATTCCAAGTAGACAAGAAGGTGGTGGACTATCTTCAAGCTCAGTTTTGGTGGCCCAACAACTAAAGAAATAAATGGAGAATAGAATCCATGAATCTATTATTTGTTGGACTTTAAACATATATTATTTAATATCGCATGAATAAGTTGTTGGTTAGGGATGATTTCCTCACAACTTTTTTCCCTATGATTTTATAATAATGATGTTTTTAAATAGTTCTCTATCTTATATAATGATGGCACTCTTTTGGTCTTTTTCCAGTCTCTCATATTGAATAGTTAGGAGATAAAGTGGGTGTTTGGTGTTACTTATAAGCTGTTTTTTTTTTAACTTTTAACTTATGAGTGTTTGGTGTGAGTTATGGGATCAACTTATGGCTTAACGCAACTTATTTTGGCCTCAAATAAGTTGTTTATTAGAAGCACTGAAAAGGGTGCTTCTCGGCTTATAGATTATGCGGCAAGCTGTGCTAATGGGTGAAATTATTTAAATATTCATTGGGTTTTACAAGAATTACAACTATGCCACTATATAAATACTCTAACCTTTCATTTCACTTCCACTCCCTCATGACTCTTCCTCTCTCTCTCTCTCTACTCTCATTTCTCTAGTTCTATCTTCCAACTTGGAAACACGAACGGCTGATGGCGAGGACTACCAAAGATGGGTGACAAATCACCGAATAGATTTGGGTTCATTTCTCTAGTTCTGTGTTAATGGGTGAAATCATTTCTCTAGTTCTCTCTTTACTATTTTTGATGACTTTGCTATAGATCTGGGTTTGATGATTTTGGATTACAACCACCGAATAGATTTCGATTTCAATTTTTTACTTTGCTTTCTATGGTGATAGTTGTTAATCTATAACAATTTATGGAAAAATCCAATCCACAATTTAGGGTTTTGTAGTGATTTTGAAAAGAAAAAAAAAATCCAATTCACGAATTAGGGTTATATCCAGATTAAAATCTTCTTGTGTAAAAAATTTATGGAAAAAAGTTTTGAAATGAAATTTTGAAAAAAAAACAAATTAATTATATCAACTTGTGAATTCAATATTCAAATAAAATAAAATAAAATAAATTGAGATAATGGAAAAATGTACCAAATTCGATATTAAATATATCAACTTCCATTAATAAAATAACTTTTTCAAAATTTAAAGTGACACTACAAGAAAGGTGGGTTTATGAGACGGAACTATTTGCGACGGCACACTTGCCGTCTCAAAAAGTCACTTTTTGCGACGGCAGAAAATGCTGTCTCAAAAAAGCAGAAAATTTGCAACGGCACAATTTGCCGTCTCAAAAAAAGAGAGTATTTCGCAAACACTTTCATTTTTTGAGACGGCAAATAGTACCGTCGCAAATGCTCTACTTTTTTGAGACGGCAAATGATGCCGTCGCAAATACTCTGCTTTTTTGAGACGGCATTTTCTGTCGTCGCAAAAAGTGACTTTTGTGTTTTTTTTTTTTAGTGAATATTTTTAAAATTTTAAGTATTTTTTTAAGATGCACCTTACTTAGACGTATCTAAAAAATAAAAAATTTATGAAAAAATATTTTAAAAAATTAATAAATACATAAAAATACAAAAAAAAAATTGAATTACTGTATTTTTTTTGTATTTTTGGTATTTAGTGAATTTTTAAAAGATTTTGTTTACAACTTTTTTAATTTTTAGGTGTATTTATGTTAGATGTGTCTGAAAATTTTAAAAAAATACTTAAAATATTAAAAAAATTCAGTAAAAACAATATAACACGGAAAACAAGAAAGTATAATTTTCTCAAAAGAGTTTTTGGAAAACTCTAACCTAGCATAGTGATTGTGGTTTTGAGATAGCTTCATATATATACAATCACAAAATGATTTGAATAAATTCAACGGTATTTTTCTGTCGCAAAAAAAAATTAAAAAAAAACAATGTCGTCTCACTCTTTTGATATAACATTTTTCTTTTCATTCATTTTTTAATCTTTCTATCTCTCTGTCTCTATCTCTCTCTCTTTTCTTTATCTCTTTCACTCATCACTCTTCTTTCTCTGTATGTCTGTTTCTCTCTCTCATTTTCTCTCTATGTCTCTCGCTTATCTCTCTTCTCTCTATCTCTCTCATCTGTTTTCTCTCTCTGTCTCTCTCGCTCTTCTCTCTTCTCTCTATCTCTCTCATTTCTTTTCTCTCTCTCTCTCTCTTATCTTTCTATCTCTCTCGCCCATTTCTCTTCTCTCTCTGTCTCTCTCCTTTTCTGTGTCTCTCTCTTGCTCATCTCTTTTCGCTCTATTTCTTTATCTTTTTGTCTATCTTTCGATCATCTCTTGTTTCTCTCTCTTTTTCTATCTTTCCCTCTATCTCTATCTCTCTCTCTCTCTTTCTCTCTCTATCTCTTTTTCTGTCTATCTCTCTCTCCCTGTCTCTCTCTCACTCCACTCTTCTCTCACTCTCTCTCTGTCTACTTGTCTATTTGTCTATTTCTCCCTCACTATGTTCGCCTTGGCTTACTCTCTCTACTCCACTTCTTCTATTTATCGAAGCTCCTTTCAATTTATCGATCCCATTATTAAGAGAACAATACCTGGGTTACACATTTTTCTCTCTCTCTCTCTGGTTCTTCTCTCTCCTCTTTCTCTTCGCTCACTACCTCCTTCTTGTCTCTCTCTCTATCTCTCTTCTTTACTCTCCGCTCCCTCTCATTATATTAATTAAATACTTAAAAAATTTATTGACGTTAGTTTGAAGGGTTTTGAATTATGTGTATGGTTATGAGTTCGAGAAAGTAATGATGTATATTTTTGAATGAGTTTTGAAACTGGATCGTAGATTTGTAGATTTTGAAAAGCTAACAACACCCATAACTTAATAAGTGGTGGGAACGTACTCATGATCCAACTATCCACTACGCTCTTCTTGTCTCTTTTTTTTCATATGTACTTCTCTCTGTTAATCTCTTTTCACTTTTCTTCTACTTCTTTTGTTTACCTTCTTGTTTCTCTTTGTTTTCTCGTCTTTCTGGATCTATCTACTCATCTACTCTCTTTATGCTCCTTAGTCTCGCTCTCTCTCTCTCACCTCTCTCTCACTCATCCTCTTTCTTTCTCCTCTGTCTGGGCCTGTCGGTGTTACTGCCTCTGTCCTCCTCTCTTTTCCCCACGCCGGTGTTCGCTGTGTCCTCTCATCCCGTTCGTTCTTTATTTATTGAGCTCTTTTCGACTCTTTGGAATCGATCCACTAAGAAAATGCAATTTTGGAGCACTTTGTTTCTTTCTCGTCTCACTCTGTCTTTTCTCTGTCGCTATATGATTCTTTTTCTCTATTGTCTAATTCTCTCTCATTCTCTCTTATCACCACCCCATCTTCTTTACACATTACGAGTACCGCAATGCCATTTCAATTCTACTACTCTTCTCTTTCTTCTTTTACTTTCATCTTCGTTTCTTGCTTATCTGTATGTTCTATTTCTGTGTTGTCTTTTGTTCTCTTTTTTCTCATATCTATCTTCCTCTCTCTCTTCTAGATTTCTCTCTCTCATCTTTTGAAGCTCCTCCTTTGTGGGTTCTATGCTGTCTTGTCCTTGTCAGCTCACTCATCTTTTGTTATCTCTGCATTTCATTTTTTTCGTTAAACTCTTTTGACTTCTCTCTCGCTCATCTCTCTTCTCTCTATTCTCTCTTTTTTATTTCGATCTCTGTCTCTCTCTCGTTCATGCTTTGTTTTTTTTGCTCTCACTTTCTCTTTTATTATGTTCGCTTCATCTCTTAGTCTCTATACTCTCCTTTCTCTGTGCTCAGAATGAGAGCGGCTTTTAATTCTATTTCTCTCTTCTGTGGCTGTATTACTTCTTTCCTCTCTACTCTTCCATTGGTCTCCTCTCTACTCCTGCATTTTCTTCTCTATTTTGGGACTATTGTTCATTACTGACAAGTATAATTCTTCCTCTCTTCTACATAAAAATAGTTATATTATCATTCATTAAGATAAAATTGAACTTAAATTCTACTTGTAACGAAAAGAAATGAAATTTTTATTTTGTTTTGGTTTATTATTTAAATATTCATTTATGATGAAATTATTATTATTTATTATATTATTTTTCCCTCAGTCCACGGGGACACGCTATGTTTTCCCCCCTTCTTTTTTCCATTACTGGCAGGCCCCCTATAAATCTTCCTCTTCTAGTTATAACCTAAATCCCCTATTTCTACAAATTCTCTCTCTCTCTCTCTCTCTCGCGACTGTGAATGAAGGAATCCAGACATCGACGACCATTGTCGGAGTCCTTAGCTTCTCTATCGATAGCCATTACCAGCAAACGAAGTTCTTCGGAGTCCTTTGCTTCTCTCTCCGGCCGTGACCAACAAACTAAGCAAACAGAGCTCTCACCTCTCCCTTTGACCGGAGTTCTTGCACCTTTCCTTCTCACCACCTAATTTCAGGTACATGTACAGTACTAGATTGAGCTCACGGCCTATTTTATTTTGTATCTGGTCTGGTGTATTTTTTTTAGATTGGGTTGAGCTTCCTTGTCCGGCGATTGTCTAGGTTTTCATTGTTGTTCTCATATTATCTGTGCTGAAAGGTGTGTATGGCTTCCGATCTATGCATCGAAAGGAACGATTCCAAATGGGAGATTAGAGATTCACCGGCAAAGAAGCAAAGGTGCGAGGATTACGGTTCACCACCACCGCTTTGTTCATCAACAGAAGAAGAAAAAGAAAAAGAAAAAGAAAAAGAAAAAGAAGACCCTAGATCAAAAGTTGTATTCTATAACTATGATGATTCAAATGTGGAAGATGACAATGATGGAAGGCATGAGTTTACTGATAGGGAATACGAAGAATTTAATCAGCAGATCACTGAAAGCGATGTAAGTTTGTGTTTGTGTTTGTTTTTGTTTTCATTTATCTCAATTTTCTTCTAAATCATATATTATTATTATTATTGTATTATTAATTTGTGGGCTTTACATACATACATACATATACAAACAGGGCTTTGATGTGATGTCGTTCCCACGCTCCTTTGCTTGCGGTACAACAGCCCCTCTTTATAATTTCGATGAGATTGCCGACAACCTCAAATCTTTTTCCGAATTAGCTCTTAAGGAATACAATGAGAAAGAGGTGTATTTCTTTATTCAATTGAAGTTCTATTTTGTTTTGTGTGTTGTGTGTGTGCTTTTTTTATTTTATTTATTGAGAATATATATATATATAT